AGCTCTGTGACCCTGCACTTCTCATTTGTTATCCTTTCTCTCAACAGAAAACAAGCCTGGAGTTTTACATTGATATCCACGCCCACTCCACCATGATGAATGGCTTCATGTATGGCAACGTCTTTGAGGATGAGGGACGGTTCCAGAGGCAGGCCATTTTCCCCCAGCCTCTGTAGGACTTCTCCTACGTAAGTCAAGAGCTCTCTCTCAGCCAGCTCCAGCTCCCCGTCTCTACCCCGCCCCTCTCCCCCTCTGTCTCCTCACTCAGTTCAGTTTGGTTTAACATTTACAGAACACCAACTCTGTGCCAGGTCTTGCGTGGATGATAAAGAGAGAGATAACAAGCTATGCCATGCCCTCGAGCTGCTCGTCACCAGTCAGGAGGGAGACTCTTTGAAAAGGCTGCGAGTGCTTAGTTTGTCTGAGGAGCTGGCATTTGTTTAGTCGATCTGACTCCTGAAGTGAGAAGAAATTCACTGAGCAGCTGAGCACCTATCACATGCCAGGCCCTGCTTTCACCTCCCTCAGCATCTTTAGTTAGGAGCCCTACCTGTCTGCTGAAGGGGGTCTATGCCCACCACGACCCCTTCTAGGCCTCAATTTCTTTGTCAGTAATTTGCGGGTGATAATTTTCTACCTTGCCTGCATCATTGCTTCCTAGGGAGACAAATGCAGAAATAGATACGAAAGTACTCCGTAGGCAGTAAAGACCTCAACAGACTGCAGAGACTGTTGTTACTGCCCACTGGACACACTGAGGACTGGAGAGGCAGTTGGCTGGCAGCTAGGATCATTTGCAGCAAAAAGCAATATTGAGAAAGGGTAGGGAGGGAAGATAAGGAGGGGAATCAGTATGTGGAGTGGGGATGGAGGAAGGAGTTTTTGCACATTTTTCTTTGTTTTGATACTACATCTCTGAGTCCTGTTATTTCCATGTGGCTAGAGGGAGAGAGGCCCAAAAAGGTCATAGCAATTTTTGAAGTTGATGAGCTGAAAACTTGCCTGCCCATTGCTTCAGGCATGGACATTAGTGGAGATGATACATTTCTCCTTGAGGTAAGATGCACTTGGAATCCCAGAATCTTTGAATGCCACACCATGAAAGAAATTGGGAGGTGATGTGACTTAGTCTCCTCTTTACACCCAAGAGACACGTATGACCCAGAGAAGTTGAGTATCTACAGCAAAGTCCCTTAGCATTTCAGGGTAGAATTGAGGCGGGTGGCTCCCCATTTGCCGCTCTGGGATAAAAACAGCCATGCTCGTTTCTGTAGGAATTCCTACGGGATGGTCAGCCCTTGTCTTTATGAAACCATTCGAGTTTCAGAGCAGACTTGGTCTCCTGGATCCAGGTTCCCTGGGAGGCTGGGCCACAGGCCTTAGAGACCCTCATACAGGCGAGGTTTCCAGAGCCAACAAGAGGAGCACAATCTGGGAGCTTCACTCCTGGCCTTGTCTGATGATGTTCCAGTATTATAGCCCCCCCTTTAGAGCTCAGGGCTGGGGTCAAGGTCATCTGGCCTAGTCCAATCTCTGTTTCCCCTCTTCTCCGATCCTCAGTGCCCAGCTCTAAAATGAGAGCTCGATTTCACTATGTAGACTTCAACAGTCCTTTCAGATCTGACATTCTATCATTTTCTGATCCTTTCCTTTACCTCAAGACACACGTACGCACGCATTTCTGTTTCTTTCCGCGTCTGTCTTGTTTCGTCGTTTTCTTTCTCCTCCTTCATTCTTCTCTTTTCCTTCTTCTTGTATATCTGCTGAGAAAGACACACATTCTCTTGTTATAACTGGTCTCATCATTTACTTGGATCTCTATGGGTTAGCAGAGATGCCCTTCTAAACTGAAGCGAACTGACCCTCCAACTCCGTGAAAGAGATGTTGTCTTCATCTTCACTTTACAGATGAGGAGACTGAGATTGAGACAAATAAGGCAAGTTGTCTAACATCTCATATATTTTGAACAGAGGACTGAGATATTGACCTGCTCGTTCCTTCCTCTATCTACTGTGACTGGTATGGTGACACCCATGTGAAGAAACAGCCATAATCCCAACTCTCTGGTGATGTTGGACGTGAGTTCAGCTGTCCCTAATGGAGGGGGAGCAGTGTGAAGGAGTGCTGAGGTTTCTGGAGTCACTTAGTCCTGGATTCAAATCTGTACTGTATCCCTTACTTGCTCTATCTCCATGAGCCTCAGTTCCCTCCCCTTAGAGGGACAAAATTATAACACCTACACCAAGGGATTATTTTGTTTTTGTTTTTTTTTTTAATTAAATTTATTAGGGTGACATTGGTTAATAACATTCTATAAATTTTAGGTGTACAACTTTATAATGCAACATTTGTACACTCTATTGTGTGCTCACCAGCTGAAGTCTAGTCTCCTTTCATCACCTTATATTTGACCCCCCTTATCCTCTTCATACTCCCCCACCCTCTTCCCCCCTTGTAACCACCATTCTGTTGTCTGTATCTATGAGTTTGCTTTTTGTTTTGTTTTTCGTTTGTTCCTTATTTTATATGCCACATTTGAAAAAAAAAAATTATAAAGTTCTTGTCCTTTTCCATCTGACTTATTTCACCTAGCGTAATACTCTCAAGATCCATCCATGTTGTCACAAATGGCAATATTTCTTCTTTTTTATGGTTCAGTATGTACCACATCTTCTTTATCCAGTCATCTGTCAAAGGACACTTGTCTTGTTTTCATGTCTTGGCTATTGTAAATAATGCTTCAATGACCATAGGGGTACATGTATCTTTAAGAATAAGTGTTTTCAAATTTTGGGGGTAGATACCCAGAAGAGGAATTTCTGGATTATGTGCTAGCTCTAGTCTTAATATTTTGAGGAACCTCCATATTGTTTTCCATAGTGGCTGCACCAATTTATAATCCGAAGGGGTTATTTTGAAGCCTCAATGAAATACTGCAGGGAAAACAATATGAAGAAGTTGAAAGCACTGCCCAAATTTTAGTTCCGATTATCATTATAATGTAATTGCTTCTTGTTGTCTGTCTGCTTTCCCTTGCTCCATCTGTCTCCATTCAAATTTCCACAGATATTTATTAAATGGCAGTTACTGTGCCCCAAGAACTCTGGGGCATGCTTTTATTTAATTATATTTGTTTATTAATCCTCAGAATAATACCATAATATGGGATTAATATTCCACTTTTCAGCTGAGGAAGCTGAGACTCAGAGGTGTTGAAAGATTGGCTCAAAATCCGATAGCCAGCAGGCGCCCAGCCCTGATTCTCTCCTCCCTATTTGTTTTTCGCAGTCCAGCACATCCTTCAACCGGGATGCTGTGAAAGCAGGCACTGGCCGTCGTTTCCTCGGTGGGCTCCTGGACCACACTTCTTATTGCTACACCCTAGAAGTCTCCTTCTACAGCTACATCATTGGGGGCAGCACGGCTGCTGTGCCCTACACCGAGGAAGCCTGTATCCTTGGCAGATCCCCATCCAGCCCTGGGCCAGCCCATATCCCACAGAGAATCTGAGAATATCAGGTCTAGCAGGATTTACTAGGCAAGTCAGGAATTTGGTCTCCAACTCAGGTGAGGACTGAGGCTCTGGGATGAGGATGGAGGTGGCTCGTTCTGCTGGTGGCATCTTTGGATTGTCCTATTTCCCCCTTGCCTTCTAATGCATACCCCTCTCCCAGCTGCCTCTGCTGTGCTTCAAGTCTTCCTCAGGCACCTGGATCCATGGCCTCCTCTTACCTTATGCTACTCCCAGCTCTCTCTCCCCTCTATTCCCTAATGAGAGAGTGAGTCTTCTGCTGTCTAAGGTATGTAAGTACACAGGCTGGATAACCATCCCCAAGGTTGCTGAGGAAGACCCTGATGGTCTTGACTCCTCCTTCTAACCCTGAACACGTAAAACTATATTTTCCCTTTTTAAATCTTCCCATCTTTTTGTGCTATTGCTTTCTTCCTTTCCTTCTCTATGCTCACTATTTTCTTTGTACTTGTTTTTTCTCCC